AAAGCTCATGCCTTCCCTTTGGAAACGCAAAGCCATTTCAGTTCATGAAACGGTTCCAACTGCTTCTGCATCACCCTCATTATTTAAATGATATGTGTGTCCTTTGGGCTGCACGGCAACATTCTTGGCTGGTGGCCTGACTGGTTCTGGGCCAAGCAGAGATTGTGCTTCTGCGGCGCTCCCCAAAAGGCATAGATTTATTTTGCTGCTGCACATGGGGGTCTGCTTTTCCCTTTCGGCTGAGCAGGAGAATGGGAGAGGGGCTTTTTTGCATTGCAATTTCAATTTGGTTCAGAATAGAGCTGGAAGGGACCCTGGAGGTCTTCTAGTCCAACCCCCCGCACCAGCAGAAGACCCGGGTTATACCATTTCAAACAAGTGGTTGTCCAGTCTTTTCTTAAAAACTCTCCAGTGATGAAGCACCCACAACGTCTGGAGGCAAGCCCTTCCACCGGTTAATTGTCCTCACTATTAGGAAGTTTCTCCTTAATTCTGAGTTGCTTCTCTCCTGGATTAGTTTCCATCCATTGTTTCTTGTCTTGCCTTCTGGTACTTTGGAAAATAAATTGAACCTCTTCTTTGGGGCAGCCCCTCAAATACTGGAAGACTGCTATCCTGTCATTCCCTAGTCCTTCTTTTTTCTAGACTGGCCATACCCGATTCCTGCACCCGTTCTTCAAGTTTTAGTCATCTTAGTCGTTCTTCTTTGCACTTTTTCCAAAATTTTAACATCTTTTTTATAATGTGACCAAAATTGGCTGCAGCACTCCAGGTGTGGCCTTACTAAGGCTTTATAAAGCGGTACTAATATTTCACGTGATCTTGATTCTGCGCCTCTGTTTATACAACTCAGGATTGTGTTACCTTTTTCGGTTGCTGCTCTACCCGGCTCACTCATGGTCTAGTGTTGTCCACTAGGACTCCAAGGCTCCAATGAAGTATTAATTCACGTGAAGTACTAATACCACTTTACAAGGCCTTGGTAAGACCACGCTTGGAATACGGCATCCAGTTTTGGTCACCACGATGTAAAAAAGATGCTGAGACTCTAGAAAGAGTGCAGAGAAGAGCAACAAAGATGATCAGGGGACTGGAGGCTAAAACATATCAGGAACGGCTGCTGGAATTGGGTATGTCTAGTTTAAGGAAGAGAAGGACGAGGGGGGACAGGATAGCAGTCTTCCAGTATCTCAGGGGCTGCCCCAAAGAAGAGGGAGTCAAGCTATTCTCCAAGGCGCCTGAAGGCAGGAGAAGAAGCAACGGATGGAAACTAACCAAGGAAAGAAGCAACCTAGAACCAAGGAGAAACTTCCTGACAGTGAGAACAATTAACCAGTGGAACAACCTGCCTCCAGAAGCGGTGAATGCTCCAACAATGGAAGTTTTTAAGAAGAGACTGGACAGCCATTTGTCCGAAATGGTATGTAGGGTTTCCTGCCTGAGCAGGGGGTTGGACTAGATGACCTCCAAGGTCCCTTCTGAGTCTGTTGTTCTATTGTTCTTTTCCTTCCTTCCTTCCTTCCTTCCTTCCTTCCTTCCTTCCTTCCTTCCTTCCTTCCTTCCTTCCTTCCTTCCTTCCTTCCTTCCCTTCCTTCTCCAACACTGGAAGTTTTGAAGAAGAGACTGGACAGCCCTTTGTCTGAAATGGTGTAGGGTTTCCTGCCTGAGCAGGGGGTTGGACTAGATGACCTCCAAGGTCCCTTCCAACTTTACCATTATTATTATTATTATTATTATTATTATTATTATTATTATTATTATTATTACTACTACTACTACTACTAACTACTACTACTATTAACTACTACTACTATTACTACTACTACTACTATTAACTACTACTACTATTAACTACTACTACTACTATCAACTACTACTACTACTACTACTATTATTATTATTATTATTATTATTATTATTATTATTATTATTTCCTGTGGTCCATCTCCCCTTCCAGAGATCGGAGACCTTGTGATCTGTGAACACGAGCGGTCCGTGCACCTCTTTGTGGACTCTCTTGTGAACAAGGACAAGCAGAGTTTTGCCTTCCAATGCACGGACTCCGGCCGCTTCAAGAAGGGCATCTGCCTGAGCTGCCGGAAGAATCGCTGCAACAGCATCGGATACAACATCAAGAAGATGCGGAACAAGCGCAACAGCAAAATGTACCTCAAGACAAGGGCCGGCATGCCTTTCAAAGGTAAGGCGAATCCTGCCACAGGTAGTCCTCGACTTACGGACACAACGGAGCCCAAAATTTTCATCGCTAAGCGAGACCGTCGCTAAGAGAGCTTTGCCCCATTTTATGACTTTTCTTGCCACGGTTGTTAAGAGAATCACTGCAGGTATCAAGTTAGTAACACGATAGTAAAGTGAAACTGGCTCTCCCATTCACTTTGCTTGTCAGAAGGTCGCAAAAGCGGATCATGTGACCCCAGGACACTGCGACCATCATAAATATGAGTCAGTTGCTAACCGTCTGGCTTTTGATCACGTGACCCTGGGGAGGCCGCAACAGTCGTAAGTGTGAAAAACGTTCATAAGTCACCTTTTCAGTGCCGTTCCCTCAGCCAATGGGGAATCCAGTTTCACTTTGCAACCATGTTACTAACTTAACACCTGCAGTGATTCATTTAACAACTGTGGCAAGAAAGGTCCTAAAATGGGGAGAAGCTCATTTAACAACTGTCTTTGCAACAGAAATTTTGGACTCAAATTGTGGTCGTATTTCAAGGATTGCCTACAATTAATTTCCTGGCGTGCAAGAGCTTTGCGGTGGACCAAAAGCTGCGGTCTTCTTTCTCCTTTGGGTAATAGGGAATCCATCATCCACACCCTACTGCTTTTCTGATTCTCTCTAGTCTTCTAGTTTGGGGCCCCAACAACACATGTGGCACTCGGATCCTCTGCCCCTTGGCCCTCCCCTTGCGAGCCATGTGTCAACGCTGCTAACATCGGATGTTTTTGCTTTGACAACAGATGGAGATGCAGCCTTTTTCCTTCCTATGTTTTACTCTTAGAATTACAGTTAGAATTAAATGATACTGGGGGAGGGGAGGAATGTGCATGGGAATTTAGTTAGACATAACAATACTGTAACCAGTGTGAGAATCAAGGTTTTTGAAATAAGAGATGATAAGAATTGGTGGGCTGGAGAACTGGAGAGGAAGCCTGCATTTCAAGCTAATTGGAGAATGTGATTTATGACTGTTAACTGTAGGAGGGAATTGTGCTTTGATACTATGTGCCCAGGGGAGGGAAATTCAGATTTTGGCTTTGATTGTGTTAGTGCCGATGCTATGCTTCTCAAATAAAGATTCTTGAAGGCAAACAATGCCTCGAAGTTCTTTGAAGAGTTTCATCCCTCGGAACCATGACACCATGTCTGTTTATGTTACCACAAATTTGCCACTCTCCTCTGCCTTTCCTCAGTTTTCCACTATCAGCTGAAGATCCACGTCTTCAGTTACAAGAGCCTGGGAGAAACAGAACCCTCTTTTTCTGTGACCTTCTATGGAACCAGCGGTGATTCTGAGCCTCTGCCTCTGGAAGTGTAAGTGGAAAACTTCAGTCCTTCTCTTTAAAGTTGATACTGTTTTTCTAAAAAAGCCCCCTCCACATTTTGTTTCCCTAGGCCAGGGGTAGGCAACCTTGGCTCTTTTATGACTGGTGGACTTCAACTCCCAGAATTCCTGAGCCAGCCATGCTGAGGGGAAAGGGAGAGGTTTCCAAGCCGAGCCAAGCTGGCTCAGGAATTCTGGGAGTTGAAGTCCACCAGTCTTAAAGTTTCCAAGGTTGAGGACCTCTGATATAGGGCAGGGATGGGGAACCTTGGCTCTTTTATGACTTGTGGACTTCAACTCCCAGAATTCCTGAGCTCAGCTTGGAAACCTCTCCCTTTTCCCTCAGCACGGCTGGCCAGGAATTCTGGGAGTTGAAGTCCATGAGTCACAAAAGAGCCAAGGTTGCCTACCCCTGGTCTAGACTCTAGGCCTAGGGTAGGGGTCTTCAAACCTGGCCCTTTTATGACTCCTGGACTTCAACTCCCAGAATTCCTCAGCCAGCCATGCTGAGGGGAAAGGGAGAGGTTTCCAAGCTGAGCCATGCTGGCAAAGGAATTCTGGGAGTTGAAGTCCACGAGTCATAAAAGAGCCAAGGTTGCCTACCCCTGGTCTAGCCCAGTCCTAGGAAGGGTTGGTTTTAAAGTGGGGAATAGTCCAGAGAAGTTCTCAATGGGTCTGCGTTCCTACACTGCGTGTCTTAGTGCCCCCATACTTTGAAATGAGGGCTGGGAACTTCCAGCTCGGGGGTCTAATCTACCTCATGATCTTGACCCTTGGTCTCTACGGGGCCTTGAGGTCTTCCCGCTAGAGCAGGGCTGAGCTGGCGGAAGAATCGGCATCGGTTCAACTTTGGCTTCCTTTTCAGATCCGATCAGATCGGCCTCAACTATACAAACACCTTCCTGGTTTACACGGAAGAAGACGTGGGTGATATCCTCAGGATCAAACTCACTTGGGAAAGCACCACTCAGTCCTGGTACAACTTTTGGAGCCAAATGAAAAATTACTGGTCCAAGCCTGATCCCTCGTCCAAAGAAGTGCAGATCAGACGGATCCGCGTGAAGTCGGGAGAAACGCAGAAGAAGTGAGTGCTTGCGGGAGGATCCCCACTAGGGAGCACCTGACCGTCTGAATGGGGGCGATGCCCCTGTCCCCACCGTCTTTTTCTGTTGGGCAGGCTGGCCGGGAGAGAAGGGAAGGTCAGTGTGAGCTACACCAGGGGTAGGCAACCTTGGCTCTTTTATGACTCGTGGACTTCAACTCCCAGAATTCCTGAGCCAGCACAGCTGGCTCAGGAATTCTGGGAGTTGAAGTTCACGAGTCATAAAAGAGCCAAGGTTGCCTACCCCTGAGCTAAACAATTCACACATGCATGCATGTTTGTGTGTAAGTAGTCCCCGACTTACAACGGTCCCTTGAGTGACCGTTCAAAGTCACAACGGCACTGAAGAAAGCGACTTACGCTCGTTTTTCACACCTACGGCCGTTGCGACATCCCCAGGGTCACGTGATCAAAATTCAGACACCCGGCAACTGACTAGTACTTATGACGGTCGCAGTATTTTGGGGTCACGTGAACACTTTTTGTGACTTTCGGACAAGCAAAGTCCATGGGGAAGTCGGATTCACTGAACAACCGTGTTACTAACTTAGCAATGGTAGTGATTCACTTAACAACTGTGGCAAGAAATGGCGTAAAATGGAGCAGAACTTACTTAAGAAATGGCTCCCTTAGCAACAAAAACTGGGGGCTCAGTTGTGGTTGTAAATCAAGGACCTCCTATATGTGCCTGTTCCCAGCCTGCTTCCCATAAGCAAAGTCAATGGGAGGGGGAGGAGCTGGATCCACTTAATGACCATGTGATTCAAATAACTGACTATAGGGGGCGAAATTCTGGCCCCCTCAGAGAGGGCGCGCAACTTGGGAGTCCTCCTGGATACACGGCTGACATTGGAAGATCACTTGTCGGCCGTGACCAGGGGGGCGTTTTATCAGGTTCGCCTGGTGTACCAGTTGCGGCCTTTTCTGGACCGGGACGCCTTGCGCACAGTCACTCATGCTCTCGTCACCTCCCGCCTGGACTACTGCAATGCTCTCTACATGGGGCTCCCCTTGAGGAGCATCCGGAGGCTCCAGCTAGTCCAGAATGCGGCGGCGCGGGCGGTGTTGGGAGGGACTCGTCGCTCCCATATAACACCGCTTTTGCGTGAGCTGCACTGGCTGCCGGTAGCCTTCCGGGTGCGCTTCAAGGTGTTGGTTACCACATTTAAAGCGCTCCATGGCATCGGACCTGGGTATCTCCGAGACCGCCTTCTGCCGCAGATTACCTCCCATCGACCGGTACGCTCCCACANCTAGGGGGGGGATTGTATAGGGATTTTAATAGGGATTTTATAACTTTTCTAAAAATAACAGGCTTATTTAATATATATTTTAATTGTTTTTAGATATTTATTGTATAGTTCCGTTTTTATTGCCTGTAAGCCGCCCTGAGTCCTTCGGGAGAAGGGCGGGATATAAATTAAAGTAATAATAATAATAATAATAATAACAACTGCAATGATTCTCTTAACCGTGACAAAAAATAATAATAATAATAATAATAATAATAATAATAATAATAATAATAATAATATAATTATAATAATAAATAATAAATAATAAATAATAAATAATAATAATAATAATAATAATAATAATAATAATAATAATAATAATAATAATAATAATAATAATAATAATAATAATAATAATAATAATAATAAAGTTGGAAGGGACCTTGGAGGTCATTTAGTCCAGCCCCCTGCTCAGGCAGGAAACCCTACACCATTTCGGACAAATGGCTGTCCAGTCTCTTCTTAAAAAGTTCCAGTGTTGGACCATTCACCGCTTCTGGAGGCAGGTGGTTCCACTGGTTAATTGTTCTCACTGTCAGGAAGTTTCTCCTTAGTTCCAGGTTGCTTCTCTCCTTGATGAGTTTCCACCCGTTGCTTCTTCTCCTGCCTTCAGGGGCTTTGGAGAATAGCTTGACTCCCTCTTCTTTGGGGCAGCCCCTGAGAGAATGGAAGGCTGCTATAATGTCCCCCCTCGTCCTTCTCTTCATTAAACTAGACATTCCCAATTCCAGCAACCGTTCCTTATATATGTTTCAGCCTCCAGTCCCCTGATCCTCTTTGTTGCTCTTCTCTGCACTCTTTCCAGAGTCTCAACATCTCAACATGTCAAAGACCTGCTGGTAGAAAGTATTTCTCTGAGGAAACGTGAATGACCCAGAGTACAGCTCTCTCTGTGTGTCTTTGCGTGCTTGATTTCAATGCTTCATATTTATCTACCTGGTAAGAATTTTTTATCTATGAGGGATCCTTGGTGCTCTCTGAGCTGGGTGGTTTTCTTACAGATGTTTCATTACCTAACCCAGGTAACATCTCCAAGGCATCAATGCTGATGATGTTCCCTAGTTGGGTCATGAAACGTCTGCAAGAAAACAACCCAGCTCAGAGAGCACCAAGGATCCCTCATTTCAACTCTGAGCTGCAAATATTCTCCTTTATCGGTATTTTCATCTAGGCTTTCTGGAGTCACACGAAGGTCAACAAATCAGAAGAGCGCGGTCTATTCTCATCAAATTTCTTCTATGTACAGTGAAGTGATCCTCATCCGGGCTCACATTCCACGCATGTAGGAGCTACTTTACTAATCTGAAGCAAATTCAAGAATTTTAACTCCCACAGTCTCAGGGGAGACATTCCTCAAAGAAGCCTCGGTAGGAGGGACGGAGGCTGCTGATCTGTTGTCGGCTTGCAAAATTGGACATTCAGAAGAACCACAACATGGCAATTGTAGAGAGAGCCGTAGCAGTTGACATGTTGGGTTAGGAACACGGAGACTCTGGTTCTGTTCTTTGATTTTAAGCCAGTCCCTCTCTCTGAGTTCTAGAACCAGTGTGGGCTGGTGGTGAATGTCCCACGCTGGGATTGAGGAGACCTAAATTTATTCCACCCTCAGTCATGGAAGCTCCCTTTTTTTCTTTTTTTTTTTTGAAATGTTTTACCAATTTTTTACAATAACAGTCTTTAGTGCCTAGTGTACAGCGTGTTGTCTTGGTTCATATATTTTGGAAAAAACAATAGTTAATTAACAGTCAATAGTATTTATTTTTTTGTAATTCCAAAATTAGTATATTAATTAATAGTGTATATAATAATAATAATAATAATAATAATAAATAATAATAATAATAATAATAATAATAAATAATAATAATAATAATAATAATAATAATAATAATAATAATAATAATAATAATAATAATAATAATAATAATAATAATAATAATATAAAGTTGGAAGGGACCTTGGAGGTCATCTAGTCCAACCCCCTGCTCAGGCAGGAAAGCCTATATCATTTTGGACAAATGGCTGTCCAGTCTCTTCTTAAAAACTTCCAGTGTTGGAACATTCACCGCTTCTGGAGGCAGGTAGTTCCACTGGTTAATTGTTCTCACTGTCAGGAAGTTTCTCCTTAGTTCCAGGTTGCTTCTCTCCTTGATCGGTTTCCATCCGTTGCTTCTTGTCCTGCCTTCAGGCGCTTTGGAGAATAGCTTGACTCCCTCTTCTTTGGGGCAGCCCCTGAGATACTGGAAGGCTGCTATCCTGTCCCCCCTCGTCCTTCTCTTCCTTAAACTAGACATCCCCAATTCCAGCAGCCGTTCCTTACATGTTTTAGCCTCCAGTCCCCTGATCCTCTTTGTTGCTCTTCTCTGCACTCTTTCTAGAGTCTCAACATCTTTTTTACATTGTGGTGACCAAAACTGGATGCCGTATTCCAAGTGTGGCCTTACCAAGGCATTCTTTGATCTTCCCTTCTCCCAATAATATTCTCCTTCAGCCTGAAACAAATATGATTCTTAATATTTTCAATGCATAAATGGTTAAATATAAACATTTTTCCCATGTTTGTACAAATAATAATAACGTCCATGTGTGGCAGCTCCTGAGGGACTTTGGGCCTCCCTCTCGTCCCAACAGCCAGAATAATGTGTAGGTAGTCCTTAGTTTACAACCATTCCTTTAGTGACCAACTGAAAAACTGACTTATGACTGGTTTTCACCCTTGCAACCATGGTAGTGCCCCCCTGGTCACGTGATCAAAATTCAAGTTGTGGCAACTGGCATGTACCTGTGACAGTTACACTGTCCTGGGATCGTGTGATAACCATTTGTAACCTTCCCAGCTAGCTTCCAATAAGCAACGTCAATGGGGGGGAGCCAGATTTACTTAATGACCACATGATTCACTTAATAATTGCAGTGATTTGCTTAACGACTCTAGCCAAAATGGTCATAAAATGAGGCACAGCCCACTTAACCAGTGCCTTTCTTAGAAATGGAAATTTGGGGTTCAGCTGTGGTTGTAAGTCAAGGACTTTCCATCCCCTCAGCCACAGAAACTCTGAGGGTGATATTGGGCCAGTCCCTCTCTCTGGGATCTAGAACCTGGGTGAACATTTAGTGGTGAAGGTGCTGGACTAGGAGCAAGAAGATCCAGGTCCTGGAAGTCCCCTTTCATCTATGGTAGCTCGTTAGTGGACTAATTGTCAGAGCAGGCCCAGTCTTACTGCGCTGAGGTAACCCAGGAATAAATGCATTACACAGGGGTTTGTAATTAAATGGTGGTTTATATTATACCATATCTACAAACATACACTAGAAATAAAATACATACACGTGGTGAAACAGCAAACTCCGATATACGACAATTACAGCAGTCAAATGGATGAGAGAGAGAGAAAGAACACAGGAGCAGAGCCTTCCCTTTTATACTCAGGCTCTTAAAGGGATACAGACTCTGCTGAGTCATTCCTAACATTGCATCATCCATCTCACATTATACAAGCTGGTTAGCTTCTAAGTCATTACCTTGACACCAATGACACACTCGCAGTCCATTCTACTTCCAGTATTGTTGCTGTGTACGCTGCCAGGAGCTCCCGAAGGATGCAAATCAAACAGATAAATAAATAGATGCATCATTTACTCATGCTTTAAAAAACACTCTGCGCAGCTGTTTATCATTGGCACAGCTGGC